TCTCTCTCTCTCTCTCTCTCTCCCTCTCTTTCTCTCTACCTTTCTATCTCGCTTTCTCTTTCTTTTTTTTCACTTTCTCTTATCACGCCAGGATTTCGGGTGACATCACGATTACATTAATGTTTGAAGAATCAAGAACAAAACATTTAGCAAAATCACCCTTGCACGTGCTTTATAATTGTCCAAGCTTTCTTTCCATTCCTCACAGTTCACATTATTTGCCAGAGAGACAATTAGCCACGTGGTCCATGCATAGAAGTAATGACGTTTTTAACATTCTCCTGGTTACCACCACCCCCCCCCTTTTTCCCCACCCGCTCAAAAAGTAAAAGATAAAAAAGCTCTCCAACTCTACCACAGACCCAAGCAGGTCTTTTCAAAAGAGTAAATATGGTGACAATCAAACATTGCCATAGCACTCTGTTACGGCTATCAAACGTGTAAGAAGCGGTTGCCCACCATGTTGGATTTCGCAGCACACATTCTCCCTTCGTATTTTTAGTTTTAGTAAAAGTTTTACTTCACTTTCAACACAATAATAATAATATGGTCATATAAATGCGGAAGGTTAGAGGTGTTTCAAGAGAGTAACAAACACAAAAAAAGAGGAGAGATTAACTTAAGACGATAGAGTTTTTGATAGGAAGGAAGAAACAAACCACACTTGAGCACCCACTAACCACCCCCTCAGGTGTTTCTGTTCTGACGTCAGTCTACCCCAACCACCAAATGAAGTCGGTCAGAGTACACCAGAGAAACAGCGATAAAATAACAGTAAAGCTCCCCTCTCTCCACACATACATGCACACAGGCACACATTTTCCCCATCCATTTTTAACTCGTTGAGGACGTGATAGACACAGAAATATTATGTGAGGCATCGCGGTGAAAAAATAAGGAGCTTGTCAAAATAATGAAGTTGAAGAGCGGGTGGTTGGCGGGTGCTCTGGGGTGGTCTGCTTCTTCTTTCCTATCAAACATCTATCGTCCTTCTCTCCCCTTCTTCTTTTTTATGTTTGTTACTCTCTTGTAACACATCTATTCTTCTGGCGTTCATATGACCTTATGCAGTTGCGAGTGCCGTAAAACCTCTACTAAAACTAAACTAAAGAAATTGAAGAAAATGGCATTATTCTGCGCGTTTGGCTTTTTTTCGAATTTTCTCTTTTGGCTCAACATCTTTTATAAATACATTTCTGTGAGGATGTTTTAGTAGAACGTTTATCAAAGGCACACATATATTTACAGCTTTCAAGGACACCCAAGCTTTGGAAGTCACCAAACGTTGGCGGCCATTTTCTCGCTAATTTTGCCTCTGACACCAGACGACTCCCACGCATCCTTTAATCGCTAGTATCTGGACTTTTATTCAACGTGGATGGCTATTTTTTTTCCTTCAAAGCAGGACAAATGAACAAAAGCAAGACAATATGATGCCAATAACACTACATGCCCAAAAATTGAAGGGCACTTGATTCCAGAGGTCGTGACAAATATTACATTTGTATGATTTACCAGTAGCAAACCATAGGTAATGTGGCACATTTCGAACTACGATACCCTGGAACGAAGGTAAACGAATGTGCATACTAAATGACTATGCGTATTGTTGCCTGCTTTTTAAAGCATCAGGCAAAGAAAACAGTTGTAACAAATCTGTACGAAAAATGAAGCAACGCTTTGAATTCGAAGCATCCCAAAAGATTTCGTCTGCGAGAGTTGTCTAGTAACCAGATTGCGCGTCTTCAAAAGGGTAAAAAGAGTTTAATTAAAAGTTTTTTGGTTGTTTTGTTTTTGTTTTAGCAGCTTTAATTTATTTACAGGTAGGTCTACATGTATTTATTTCTCTTTTTAAGAAAGACATGAGTCATTTTTGAAAGCACAAAATGTCTCGACAGTGTTTTTCTGTAGGAGGTAGGGAGGTCCGGATGGGGATTGTTGAGATATAAATACCAAGTGGGGAAAAAACTGAACTTGAAACTACAACAGTCTTACGTTTACAGTACCAGCAAATAAGAAGCAAGGGTATCAATTATGGCAAACTGTATGATCAATTAATTTTTTAAAGAAATTGTTAACACACTTTGAAGCCAAGTGAATCAGCTTTTTGTCTTTGGTGAATTAAACTATTGCTTCATTGGCCTTGAAATGTAAGGTGCACAATTTTAATGGCTGGCTGTATCTCAAAAAAATTGTATTTTTGCTTTGAGCTGAGGCAGTGTGTCGAGAATAAGATGACGGATTGAATTTTGATTTTATATAGACATTTTACGTCGTCATCGACTCAACTTGGATATTTCAGGAGGAAGGTTTAAACAAATAAATACAAAACAATAGACAAACCAACACCAAAACAATAACCAAACACACAGACATGACGAACCAAGAGACATAGCAGAGCCAAAGACAAAAAGTAAATAAACAGACACAAACGGAGAAACATGCACCTTCAAATTAAAACACAAAAAACCCCAAACAAACAGACATAAATAAATGAGACGACGTAAACAAACAAACAGGCATAAATAAATGAGAAGACGTAAACAAACAAACAGACATAAATAAATGAGAAGACGTAAACAAACAAACAAACGTAAGTGAACCCCTTCCCCCTCCCCTCTAAAAAGCAAACACAGTAAACACAGAGGCACAGACGAATTAGAAGACAAAAACAAATATTTGATAAACGATAAAGTAAAGACAAAAACAGACGAATCTAAAGACAGAATTAAACCTCAATAAACGAACGAAAAGAAAGAACAAAAAAACAACAACAACCCAAACCAACCAACAGTGTACTCACCCATGGGTACCAGATTGCAATAGGTCCCGTCGCATATACATATGACAGCACCGTTCCAGTCGTAACAACCTGTTTTGGGCAGAGGGTTGGGCATATTACCTTGACCGGTGGTACAGCCGCGGAAGACCACTGCAGAAACGGTAAAAATGGTGGTTGAGTGGTGGTGGTGGTGGTGGTGGCAGTAATGATGATGATGATGATGTTGATAATGATGATGATGATGATGATGATGATGATGATGTTGATAATGATGATGATGATGAT